AAATCATCAGAAGTGGAATGTCTAGCCCCAAGTATGTATACATGAGTATAAAGCTCTTGGTAAACATTGCTAAGCTGGTTTCTAGAAAGATTCTCTTAAAATTCACTTCCATGAGCCAAGCCACACAGCCACCAGCAGATGTTTCTAGTCTGATTCTGTTAAATAAAATTCATAGGAGCCCATTGCTTTGGTCCAGCCTCTGCTCTGGGCTCTGTCAGGCCAGTCCAAACCACAGTGGTGTCATTCACATTAAGTGCCACATAATCAAACTGAACTCTAAAAACAGGCTAGTTTCCAAGAAGAACAGGGCTTCTTATAGCCATCAATGAAAAGGGTTTCAGGTGAACTAGCCAGCCAGGTAAAGAGGCTGCCTTATGTAAGGAAAGCAGCTCTGAAATGACTGATTTCTTATTGTTCTCTATTTCTACTTCCCTGAGTCACTTTCTATCTGTAAATGGACTTCTGCTATTTTGTTTATTGGAACACTTGTTGTATTATAGAATTATATTATTATACTTATCAACAATTATGTTTTATTAATATATTAATTATATTATAATTATATTGTGTTATAAATTTTGTTATATATAAGGAATTATGTATAACTCATATGCAAATATATATAGGATACATACCTACACATAAACAATTTTATAATAAAATTATAAAATAATAATTACATTTCTATATAGTTATAAAATAGAGAAATAGAAATAAATTGGATTTTGTATAAGTCTATAACTAATTGAGATATAAGGACAACATAATTATACCAGTTATATATGTAAATATAAAATCATATATAAATGGTTAAATAAAATAATAATAATAATGATACACAAGTGTATGGGATGTAAGTATAAAATATATAAATAAGCATGAATGGGCATCCTAAGGCATAAAGTATTAGGGGTTGGAGGTATGACTCAGTTGGTAGAGTGCTATCCAATGAGCAAAAGTTGAAGGTACTGAGTTCTAGTCCCAGTCTCAGACCTAAAAAGAAAAGAAAAAAAGAAGAGAAAAGGAATCAAGTGTTAATATACAATTGTGTTTTAAAATGTTATTGTAGAGGTGATGTAAATAGGAGTTACAGTTATATAAGTATGACAATTAATACATTTCTTTATACAATTATATCTCAGTATCAACAAGAGATTGGTTCCAGAACCCTCACAGAAAGCAAAACCTGTGGGTGCCTCTATCTCTTTTATAAGATAATGTAGAAGATGATCAGTAGGTAAAAGGTGTGGTTGGAGAGAATAGCTTGTAATAACATATAGCACATGGGCTGGGAAGGTGGCTCAGTGGTAGAGCGCTTGCCTTGCATGCATGAGGCCCTGGGTTCGATTCCTCAGCACCACATAAGCAAAAACAAAAAAGCCGGAAGTGGCGCTGTGGCTCAAGTGGTAGAGCGCTAGCCTTGAGCTGAAGAGCTGAGGGACAGCGCCCAGGCCCAAAGTTCAGGCCCCATGACCGGACCAAAAAAAAAATAATAAAATAAAATAAAAATAACATATAGCACAATAATTACTCTTGTCAACATTGATGAATTGTGTCCATCTAGTGTGGACTCATTACCTGACATACAATTATAACCCCTATGTACATTACCTCTACATAACAATAAATATATTTTTTAAAAAAAGAATGTTTCCAAATACTAGAGGGATGCTTGTCTGAGATGAGAAATTATCCTGGTATGATCATCACATGGCCCACATGAGTTAAGATGGTCCATTGCACCCCACAAATATGCCACAAATATACCACTACAATTAAAAACAAGATATTTGTCGGGAGCCAGTGGCTCATGCCTGTAATCCTAGCTACTCAGGGGGCTGAGATCTGAGGATCATGGTTCAAAGTCACCCTGGGCAGGGAAGTCTATATGACTCTTGCCTCTAACAAACTACTCAGAAAAAGCTGCAAGTAGCACTGTGGCTCAAGTGGTAGAGCACTAGTCTTGAGAACAAAGAAGCTTAGAGACAATGCCTAGGCCCTGAGTTCAAGTGTCAGGACTGGCAAAACAAACATAAAAACATAGGGTATTTGCCAGGCATTGGTGACTCATGCCTATAATTCTAGCTACTTAGGAGGCTGAGAGCTAATGATTGTGATTTGAAGCCAACCTGGGCAGGAAAGTCTGTGAGACTCTTCATTTCCAATTAACCATCAGAAAACTAGAAGTGATTCTGTAGCTCAAAGTGGTAGAGTGCTAGCCTCGAGGGACAAAGCTCAGGGACAGTGCCCAGGCTGTTTGTCCCTTCCCCTTCCCCTCCCTTCCCCTTCTCTTCCTCTTTCTTCCCTTCCCTTCCTCTCTCTTCCCGTGCTCCTTCCGTGTCTCCTGCAGCCCAGCAGTATGCTCTCCCCAAATAAACTCTTTTCTGCCTGAACTTTGTGGCTATTTCCTTTTGGCTAAACCTTGCAAATGGTTGCTATACTGTATCGTTTTATTTATGCCTGTTCAGTTCAGGTGTAATTTTCAGTTCATACATTTGCAACTCAAGGTTGGTTGCATCTGAGGAGGTGGAACCTCATATGGAAGGTGATGTTGGAACCCTCTTAACCACCACCTTATATACATAAGACTGCTGAGAGACTGTAGGAAGAAGTTAGATTGGATTCAACCTGAATCATAAACTCCAGAGGCAGAATAAGGGAACCACAGCTTGAATGAGCACCACCATCTTGGAAGTACAAGAGGGAAGGGGAAAACTGTCTATTTCCAGGTTTTGGTAAAGGGTGCACAACTCAACTTGAGTGGCAAACCAGTCTATGTCCTCGGCTCCTACCTAGCCCTCTTTAATGTATGGCCATCCAACACTCCTTGCAGTCTACCATATCTGTACTACACCAGGCAAATCTGTCCCTCCCCTTCAGCTTTTCTGTGGTGTCATCTCCATTCCTCTTGTTCTGAAGGCCCCTCTTCAACCCACCCCATCCCAGATACCTGTAAGTTCCTCTTTCACAGCTTCTTCTCCATCCTGTCACAACACAATGTTACCCATTGACATGTGCTGGAATTTTGTGAGTGACAAGTGTAGAGAGGTGCCTGTTGGGATGCTTCTGGCAAGACTCAAGGCAAGGCTGAGTATCTGTGGCTTCATGCCTGTAATCCTAGCTACTCAGGAGGCTGAGATCTGAGGATCATGATTTGAAATCAACTCAGGCAGGAATGTCTCAAACTTATCTGCAATTAGCCAGCAAAAAGCCAGAAGCGGAGGTGTGGCTCAAGTGTTCGAATGCTGGACTTGAGTGAAAAAGCTAAAGGATAATGCTTAGGCCCAGAGTTCAAGTCCAAGTTCAAGTCCTGGTACAAAAATAAGATTCAAACCTACCTGCCGGGATGTTGTCTCCCCAGATTTGGTCCCTCAGCCTCCAGTTCCTATCACTGCTCACATCTTCAGGGTTGCCTGGGTTCCTCAAGCTACTGTGGCTGCTGGGACAGAGGGCTAGAGAATCGGGGACTAGCAGTTTCCCATCCAGTGGCAGCCTAAAGCTAGGAGGTACATCCACACACCCACCTCCCTGTTCTCTGAAGTGTGACATGAGCTGCAGACCTCCCACAGGCCCAGATGTGGTGATTTATGGCTCCTTGCCTTCTCCCTGCCTGCTCCAGCCTCACCTGTGTATCTGGAGTGTACTAATACCTGACCCTCACATAGGAGCCCCAAGCTCAGGAGTCCCACCGAAGCTAGATACCCTAGGCTGCTTCTCTCTAGACTCCCCCTGCAGAGGAGCCCTGCAGAGACACAGGGCTGTCATTCCTTCAGGTCCTGCTGATGGGATCAGAGGTTCACCTGCCTCAAATCGGACCCAGGTTCTCCTTTAGAAATGCCATCTTAGCTGAGAGCAGGTGGTTCAAGTCTATAGTCCCAGTCCATCTCAGGAGGCTGCGATGGGAGGATCTTGGTTCTAAGTCAACCCTGGCAAACAAATCTAAGAGGCTCTTATCTCCAGTTAACTGCCAAAAAGGCCAGGGGAGTAGAGGTGTAGCTCAAGTGGTCGAGTGCCAGCCTTGAGTGAAAAAACCAAGTGAGAAGTACAAAGCTTTCAGTTCAAGCCCCACTCTCAACACCAAAAACAACAACAACAGCAGCAAAAAGTCATCCATAAACTTCAGGCACAACAGACATGTGAAGGTACAAGCAATGCAGCAATGCCAATGCCAGACATGCAGGAGTCATTTGAGAGTGACTACATTTCCACAGGGCTGTTGTTCATTCCACCAACATGTACAAGGCCTTTCTAGGCCCTTCTGAACCCATGAGTCTCTGGAGAGATCCTATGACTGCGCTTCCTGTTTGAGGTGCCTTAGGAAAAGACCTCTGTTCTCTTACAGAAGGAGCAATTCCAGATGTTCCTTGCAATCCCCCAGAAACCCCCTTGAGCTAGGGGAAGTTCCAGAGGGCCTGCGTACCTGTCTGGCTCACATCTTGTCCTGCTGCTATCTCAGGGTGGGGATCTGAGGTCAGAGAGGATAGAATAGGATCCTGGAAGGCGTAGGAACAATTCAGTTTCTGGAGTTAGAGACAGACTGAGAGAGAATAGTAGTGCAGGAGACTGGGGGGGGGGGGAGTAGGGAGGGAGGAATCTCTGCTATGTTCCCAGCTGTCAATCAAATATTACAGTTACAGATTGATGGGGATCAATTGATATTATAGAATGGATGACATTCCATTTTTTTCCAGATACCATAGTACCTTTAATTTATTAGCTTTCCATAAAACACAGACCACACACAATCTACAGTATACAAAGTATAACTTACAAAAATATAAAAAAAAAATCTTGGGTTATTTTTTAGTATTCCAACATATTATACTGTGTTATTTCCAGATGCATATTTAAACAATCCACACCTACCTAGCATGATTATCTGTGTGAAGGATGATGTCAAGTCCTTTTTTGTTTTAAAGTAAAATATATATATATAATATATATAATCAAGAGAAAGAAATGCACACTGGTTATGTGTGCTCTTATGTATGGATAAGAGCAGTGGAGTGTGAAAGAAAATACTCATTTATGCCATAATTTAGGTGCTGCTTCCAGTAGGTGGCCCACAGGCTTTGAAACTGGGCAATTACATGGCATTTTTTTTGCATGGAAAGGGAGTGAATCTGAGGCTTGCAAAGGCCGCTCAGGTTTCAAGATGATGAACACACATGCCAATATGGTAGACACTTGCATCCCAATGAGCAAACTTCAGGTCAGGGCCAACTTCATATCCCTTCAGAGGACCCAGGGGGCGAAGTCACTAACAAGGAAAGATTCTAGATCTTTCCAATTGATGGCCCAATAGTCAGATGTTGCTGGTACCGGCAGGATTGCCTGTACTCTCTGCCTTGTGCTTGAAGTTCCCCTGGGCCAAATCCTGGCTACACAAGGCCAAGAGAATGTTGCTGTGCTGGACAGAGACGGGCAGTCCTGCATTCCAACCTGTCTTACCGACAGGCACAGGTTTCCACAGACATGTTGGGGTACACCTTCAGAACGACATTCCGGTTCTCATCTAGGAAAAGGACTCCAAGCGAGTTCATCTTGTCTGGGACACAGCAAGGCTCTGGGACTCCGGGAACAATGCCTACAGCTCTGACGATGCTCTGAATGGTGGCATGGTTGGATGGGCGGACAATCTGCAGGAAGAGAAGGGAGCGGGGTTACTTCGCAAGCAGGTTATGCTCTGCTGTCATTCCTTGAGTTCCTTGACTGAGAAGATAGTGGCCAAGAGGAAACGATGGGCTCCCAAGGCTGAGCACTCACACATGCTCTTAAATCAACTGTACACTGAGTCACAATTGGGTGCTAGTGGCTCATGTGTGTAATATTAGCTAGTCAGGAGACTGAGATCTGAGGATCACAGTTTTAAGATAGTCTGGGCAGACAAACCTAAGGGACTCTTATATCCAATTAACCAATATAAAGCCTGCAGTGGATGTGTAGCTCAACTATCAGAATGCCAGCCTTGTGTAAAAAAAGACAAGTGATTGCAGAAGGCCCTGAGTACAAGCCTCTAGTATCAGCACAACAAAACTTGAGTTGCAGTCTAAGCCCTCAAGAGCCCACTTCTGCCTTCTTAAGGGATAATGCATCCACTACATAGCATTTGCCACTTGGGGGTGCCAGTGCGTCACAGATCCCCAGGAGCAAGTGGAGCTGGGCAACCACTGAGGAGTTAAGGAGAATGCCCCAGCCAGCAGACCTGCCTCCCTTCAGTGATCCTGGGATTGAGTGGGAAGGGGAACTGCCCACAATTCCCATGTGTGCCTGAACTTGGGGAGTAGGTGCAGTTTTATTGGCATCCTTCCATATTGTCATCTTATTCTACAGAGAGGCTGTAAGTTTCTTTTTACCAGTGAAGAGACCAAAGCTTAAAACGACAAGTAACTCAACCAAGATTCCCCAGTCAGAAAGTTGCCTGGCTTGGAAATGATGCCTAACTCTCAGGTCAAATATATCCAAAGTCACTTCTCCACGTCCCCTTCCCCCACCCCCCCACCCCCAGCCCCCACACCTTCTCTCTCTTTCGCTGTGCTAGGACTAGTGCTTGAACTCAGGGCCTAGGTACTACCCAAGGCTAACAATACTTTAGCACTTGAACCACACACACCTCTGCTTCTGTGTTTTGTTTCTTTGTTTGTTAGTTAATTGGACATAAAGAGTCTCATACTTTCCTGCCCAGGCTGGCTTCAACCCAAGATCCTCAGATCTTAACCTCTTGAGTAGGTAAGATTACAGGTGTGAGCCACCAGCACCCAGCCAAGAAAGCCTTCTCTTGTTGGGGGAGAGGAAGGTAGATCTAACTGAACATGTGCAGCTCTGGCTAGGGTCCTGGCTGGTGTCCTGGAAGGTAGGAAGACAGCAAACTGGGCTGGTGAGTGAGTTAAATGTCAGGTCAGCTGTGAGCCTGCAGTGGTTACATCTGCCTTGGCTCTGAGCACATGCAAACCCTTCTGATAAACTGTGTCTCGCTGGTATACCCCTTCCTCTCTCTTGAATATGCACAGCTTTGAGAAGAAGCCTCTTCATTCCCACACAGATTAGTATGGCCTACATCTGGGGCTGGGTTTCACTAGAGGTTCATGTTGAACTTACGCACTGACTTTCTTTCTTCGAGGGTAAACCAGGGGAACTTTGTAGAGTGGTTGGGAGGAAACAGTACTGGGTGCTAAGCACAGAGATCACCAGCCCAACTTTGGCTGCAGGGACATGGATGCACAGAGCCACACCCCAGCTTGTGCAGAAGGTGAGAGTCTGAAGGTTAGGGCCAGCACAATGAAACAGCCCAGTGCTATGTGTCAGGCTGAACAATGGCACAGGAGGGCTAGCTGCCCAGAGAGTAACTGCCCTGATCTGGAGCTCTACTGTATTGGGAGAGTCACTGAGACCAATACTTGGCTGGCCGTAGACACTAAAAGCCATGAGATCTAGGCCAGGAACAAAAGAAAGCCTGGTCCATGAGGGAACTTCTAGGACCACAGGACTTTGTACGTGGCCACTATATTAGGAATGTACTTTCAAAGACACAGGTCCTTGTGTATTTTAGAAGAGATGTTCTTATTTAAAAAATTCCAATTCAGCCCAGCATTGGTGGCTCATGCCTGTAATCCTCGCTACTCAAGAGGGTGCAATCTGAGGATCATGGTTTGAAGACAGTCTGGGCAGGAAAGTCTGTGACACTCTTGTCTCTACTTAACCACACAAAATCCAGAAGTGGAGCGTTGCTCAAGTGGTAGACTGCTACATTTGAGCAAAAAAAAAAACCTCAGGGACAGTACCCAGGACCTGAGTTTAAGCCATAAGACTGCTCCTTCCACCCCCCCCCCCCCCAAAAAAAAATCCACTTCAAAAGCTCAGCCAAACCAAATGCTTCCTGCCACTTTGGGACCTCCATCTACCTACCCTTTACCTCTGTAGATGGGAAGTCTCTCTATTCTGATTTGCAGAGGATGCGACAGAGGTGAGGCAGGCACAAGGATGGGCCAAAAGGGGCAGACCTGAGAGTAAGGTGTAGATGCACAGGTAGAGCGCCTACCTTGGGCATGGGGAACTCACAGGCTCCGGCACAGTAGTAGGCGTCAAAGGATTTGGGCGAGATGATCCATTCGTTCCATCCGATGTCTGCGAAGTCAACCCTCAGGTACCTCCGGGAACAGACCCGAGGTTCATCCCACTGTCGTCTCCGGGCTTTCTGCATGGTCTTCTCGTCAAAGTCCAGCACCTGTGAGGAGGCGGAGAAGGAGTCCTGACCCTTCTTCCTGCGATCCTTTCGCCCTGGCCGGGGCTTCAGTGCCCGAAAAGGGTTGGGCCATAACTCGTGCTTGTGGTAATGCTGGCCGTGGGTGGCATGCACTGGCCGCTCATCCAGCCCAGGCAGCTCATTGTCCTGGAGGGGCCCAGAGGCCTGAGCTGCCCTGCGCACTCGGGGATCTGAAGAGCTGTTGGGGGCTGTGCGGGGCTCAGATTCTCCAGATGGGAAAGGGTCATATCTCTGCAGGGTCACTGCCACGCTGTTGGGCTCGGCGATGGCCAGATCGTTGGCGTAGACAAGGATATAGGGCGCGTGGGGGCTGGGCTTCAGCACCCCAGGGTCCTTCTCCCCAGATTCTAGCTGGACTGTGAGGAACAGCTCCCCATCCCGGCGGGCTGCCTTGATGATAGAAGAGATGTCCTTGGCCTGCCACAGTCCCCGTGGTGGGGTAGCCAGGGTCATGGCCCCTCGGAGCAGCCCCTGCGTGGCTGTGTTCTGTGAGAGGCTTCGGAAGAGCAAGTGCAGGCGGGCTGGTGGGCCCGGGGGGAGCAGGCGACAGGAGGAATTCTTGGCCCGTGGCTTGCATAACATCCCACGGGGTTGGGGCCACCATGGTGGCTCCGAGTAGAAGTGGAAGGTGGCGGTGAGGATCATTTCTGAGTCCTGCATGGAGGTCAAGTTGAAGAAATACACGGCTTTCTGGTCGACCACTTCTGCAAGGGGAAGGCAGACCACAGGCTGTTTATTCTAGGAATCACACCTCCCTCAGGGGTTGCTTGCCCCTGGGGGGCTGCGGCCGGGGGGGGGGGGGGGGGGGGGGGGGGGGGGGGGGGGAGGGGCAGAGTACATTTAACCCAACACTTCTAGGTAGGGTAAGCTCTTGTTCATCTCTTGTAAACCTACTCACATTGAACCAATGGGGGCGCCCTTTACTGCTTTCAGTGACTAGGAGGCTAAAGCTCTTGTTCCTGCTCTGCTCCCTTCACTGCCCTCAAAGAACAAATCAGCAGGCAAAACTGATGCCTTCATTAAGTGCTCAATATGACTTGAGTCCAAGGTAGCCCCTCTCAGGATTTGCAGAGTCTTCTATTCTAAGCAGCCAGTTTTTGTTTGTTGTTTTTCTGCCGGTACTAGGGCTTAAACTCAAGGCCTGGGCACCGTCCTTTAGCTAGCTTTCTTGCTCAAGAATGGTGCTCTATCACTTGAGCCACAGCTCCACCTACAGTATTTGGTGGTTAATTGGAAATAAGAGTCACACAGACTTTCTTGCCCTAACTGGTTTGAAACCCTGATCATCAGATCTTAACCTCCTAAGTGGCTAGGACTATAGGCAACTGGTGCCTGGCTAGGAGCCAGTGTTTAAATGCAGTCATTAAACACTACTTCTGTTAAAAATGAGGTGAGAGCTGGGAAGGTGGCTCAGTGGTAGTGTTTGCCTCCCATGCATGAGGCCCTGGGTTCAACTCCTCAGCACTGCATAAGCAGAAAAAACCAGAAGTGTTCTGTGGCTCAAGTGGTAGAGCACTAGCCTTGAGCTGAAGAGCTGAGGGACAGCACCCAGGCCCAGAGTTTAGGCCCCACAACGGACAAAAAAAATGAGGTGAAATAAGGAGACTTTCATATTTTTTTCATTGCATTCTGAGCAGCTCATAAGGGAATCTGGGGCTAAAAGCTCAGTTGCAAGTTGAACATTTTGCTATTTGTCCTACCCTGGAATTTTTTTTTGTCAGTCGTGGGGCCTGAACTCTGGGCCTAGACGCTGTCCCTCAGCTCTTCAGCTCAAGGCTAGCACTCTACCACTTAAGCCAACAGTACCGCTTCCAGCTTTTTCTGTTTTATGTGGTGCTGAGGAATCGAACCCAGGTCCCTCATGCATGTGAAGCAAGCACTCTACCACTGTGCCACCTTCCCAGCCCCTACCTTGGAAATTTTAAGATGGGAGGGGGGAAGGAAGAGGGAGAAACAAGAGGAGGAGGGGAAGGGGAGGAGGGAAAGGGAAAAGGAGAGAAGTGGGAGAGAGGAAAAGAGAAACAGAACACACATACACACACACACACACACACACACACACACACAATGTCAGGATTGCACAAGGTCACTGCACAAAACCTTCCAAGCCCAGGTTGCCCCCTGGAGGCATAAGCCCATAAGGATCAGGACCACTCAGCAACCATCTGCATCATGGCTGGAGAAGGCTCGGCCTCTGCTTCCCCAGGGTAGCTGCCCAGCCAAGCCCTTTCCTTCTTGCCTGGTTCCACTATGTGTTTCTCAGCATGAGCCAGGAAGCAGTCCCAGCCGTGGAGGTGACGTGAGCTCTTACGATGACAAAATCCTCTCTTGGATTCAGAGGGGAGAAAGGGGCCTTCCTGGTGACTCCTGGTAATGCTGCAGGCCAATGGGAGACCAAAATGGCCAGCACAGGTTTTCTCTCTTCTGCTACTGCTAAAGGTTTGTTTGCTGGGTAAAGCCAAGAGAGAAGCAAGGCCCCTAAGCCCCAAAGGCATGTATGGGTGGACACTGGGCCCCCCAATGGACATAGATCTGGGTTCTACTTCTGACACCTGCAGACTGAGGACCGGCCGGGGTTTTCAATCATAATCTGCAGTTTAATCTTCATTGCATTTACTCTTTCAATCATTTAATCTTCATTGCATTTTTTAAAACTTTATGGGGGAGGGACACATTCTCTTAAGGAGCCATAAGAGGGAACAAAGAACAAAAGAGAGAACGTTTTTGAAGGGTCTTCTAAGTACCAGTGATGGCTAAAGGCATTCCCTTGGCTAATGCTCATGATCCATCCTTAACATGGGTGTCACAGCCCTTCCAATGCATCATGCAGATAAAGCTGTGTTTGCCAGCTGTGGTGGCTCATGCCTATAATCCTAACTACTCAGGAGGCTGAGATCTGAGGATCGTGGTTTGAAGTCATCCTGGGCAGGAAAGTCCATGAGACTCTTGTCTCCAACAGACTACCAAAAAAGCCAGAAGTGGAGTTGTGGCTCAAACGGTAAAGCCTTGAGCAAAAGAAGCTCAAGGACATACCCAGCCCTTAAGTTCAAGCCCCAGAACTGGCACACACAAAAATAAGCTAAACAACAACACAAAAAACCCTGAACAAACAAAAAAGCAGTGCTTCCCAAGTTCAAGTCCCACAACCAAAAAAGGAAAAGCAGTACTGTCGGTTTCCTGTGTATTTAATTCAGCTTCCCAGGAACACAGTAGCCTTGAAAGTCATAATCTAGCAACCAGCACCCAACTCTACTTCCAACCAGCACCCAGTCCTACTTCCACCACTAGGAAGATTGGGGAGCATCTCCAGTGGTAGGGGCGATGTATATGTGGCAGCTCTTTCCTGTTGTCAATCACTTGCTGGAGCCCTGTATTATGTGCACACAAGCAGATGAGAGAAGAAAGGGGAACCAAGGAGGCTCCTCCCACCTCCTGTCCTCTGACCTGGGCAACACACTGGCTAGCAGTAGCCCTCCAGGCTGGCAGCACATGCTCTAGCAACCATACTCACGGGCTCCATGCAGCCCTATACTCGGAGCCTTAACTTTCCTCCTCAGCTTCCTAGGATCCTCTACCTTCTGTGCTTACTGTAGGCTGAAAGAACCAGCCTAAGGCTGGCACCAGTGTGTCTCCACTGTACCTGGGACATGCAACATGAAGTTAGGTGTGCGACATGGCAACATGTAGCATCATGGCAGTGGCTCAAGTGGTAAAGCACTAGCCTTGCGCAAATAAAGCTCAGGGACAGAGCTCAGGCCCTGAGTTCAAGCCTCAGGACCAAGAATAACAAATACAAATAAAAAAGAAAGTTCTGGATTTGGGAGCCTGTTAGATTTAGGAAGTCCCACTTTGAGAAGAATGCACAGCATAATTGACCAGTTATGGAGTTCTGACCTCCTGGCATAAAGACTTGGCCCAGGACTCGGTGTTGTGAAGGCATATACCTCTTTTTTCACTGTGAAAGGAGCAGGGAGGTGACATCCATTCTATGGGTGATGAACTAGAGCTTCAAAAAGGGTGTATAACTAGCCTAAAGTCACATAGCTGGCAAAGGGCAGAATCTACCTCTAACCATACCCTTTTCCCCAAATAACAGTTCTGGCCATTACTGGGATGTACCTAAGAACAAAAGAACCAAACTTACTTTGTGCTGAAAACAATGATGCATCCTCCAAACACAAGCCACTCTTTGTATGGTTTTCCTTTGTTTGCTTTTGCAATGATACTGGAGTTTGAACTCAGGGCCTCATGCTCTTGGCTTGGCTTTTTCATTCAAGACTGATACTCTACTACTTGAGTCCCACATCCACTCCCACCTTTTTTGCTGAGGAATTGGAGATAAGAGTCTCATGAGCTCTTCTATTCATGCAGGCTTCCTACTGTGACCTTCAGATCTCAGCCTCTTGAGTAGCTAGGATTACAAGCGTGTGCCACCAGCCATGGGTATGGAGTAACAGAAGTAAGAGGTGCTGAGCATGTGTTTCCCACTGGCTCAGTGGGGGCCAGGGGTTCACTACAACACTTCCTAGCTGTAAGGACTGAGGCAAGAAACAAAACCTCTCCACATCTGTTTCCTCATCTATAAACTGGAAGTGTTTTAAGCACCTGCTTAAACTTAACCTATGGTTAGCTCTGCAGAGCTCACTTGAATCACAGAGCCTGGCACCCAGGACATGCTCAGAGGCATAGCCAGGTGGCCACGGGGACTGTCACTACCCTCGGGGCACCCCAAATTTGCTCTTTCATAAACAAATACACACTCATAGATTCTACCAGAGGGATCATAGTATTTACGTACATGTATTCTCATCTGAAATCACTTTGTTTTTCCATTCCTGGTTGTCCAAAAATGGTTTTCTATGGCCAACAGGAAATAGCCATTGGCTATTCTTTCTCTGGAGAATTCCCTCCTCAGATGGGGTTTTGGTTTCTCATTACTGATCTGTAGACTTTCTTGACATAGTAAGGCTGCTAACCTTGTCCATCTCTCCCAATTGATCTGCTTTAGGAGTATGTATGAGATCTTGGGTGTCTTGATAAGTTGAAGCCTCACTACCCATCCAACCCCTTCCAGCGGGGCTCAGAACTCTCTTATCTCCTACCTTCCTGTTCCTAACCAGCCCCAGTCCTTGTTACTCTGGCAGTCAGCTTCTCCATACACACCCCAGGGGCTGCCATGGCTTTGTTCTACCATGGCCTTGTTCAGGGTCTGGCCTTGACTGTAGCAGCCACCCTATGACTATCACCCATGGATGTCACACACAAACAAAGCCTGGGCTGACTTTGAACCCCAATCCTCAGACCTCAGCCTCCTGAGCAGCTAGGATTACAGGATGAGGCACAGATGCCCAGTTACTTTCATCTGCTTGTCAGTTCATGAGGGATTTTGCTATGGTCAAGATTCCATGTATCTTTGTGTCCTTCTGGCTTACTCTCTACCAAATGAGAGGCTGAGGAAACAGGCTATGTTTGGATATGATTTATCCCCAAAGAGTTCACATGTTGGGGCATAAAACTTACTTACCCATTTAATCCACCCCCCCCACCCCCGCCCACTGTGAAGAGGAAGTGGGGCCTTTAGGAGATAGAACCTACCAGGAGGTGGTTAGGTCATTGAGAGCCCCACTCAGGGCCTAACATAACTTCCATGAGACTCCATTCAGTTCCCCCAGGGAGCAATTGTTATACTTGGTTAACCTGTCTGTCAAATTCTTTTCTGTAGCTGGGCACTAGTGACTCATGCCAAATCCTAGCTACTCAAAAGGCAGAGGTCTGAACGTTGTGGTTCGAACCCAGCCTGGATAAGAAAGTCCATGACACTCTTATCTGCAGCTAACTACCAAAAATGCTAGTAGTGGAGCTGTGGCTTAGTTGTAGAGTACTAGCCTTGAGAAAAACAAAAAAAGAAAGAAAGAAAAAGAAAACAAAACACTCAGGGACAGCACCCAGGTCCTGAGTTCAAGCCCCAGGACTGAACCCAAAACAAAAATGCTTCTCTGTGAAGGCCTTGCAGGCTCCTCCTGCTCCCTGGCTTCCTACCTTGCTGTGGGATCACTCCCTCCCCTGTGTCCTCCGGCCACTGTACCATCTGCCATGCCGTGACACAGCCCCAGCATCCTTGCCAGAACTGGTACCATGCCCTGTGGATTTTCAGCCTCCAAAAATGTGAACTAAATAAAAACCTCTTTATGAGTTTCTCAGACTCCGCTCTCTTGTGATAGCAGCAGAAAATGGACTCGTACACTTGGGGAGCTGAAATAAGCTTGCCTTTGGGCAGTTTTGATAAATTGTGATTATAGCATAGTTCACATTTTAGAGGTGAAGTAAATGAAGTCAGGCAGGCAGGGGCTGACACTTGGAGAGGGCTAGGGAGGTGCTCTGGCATTAACCCTTCAGGCAAGGCTGACAGGCTGTCTTCTACTGAGGTACTTCAGGAAGCAGTACAAGAGGAGCCTGCTTCAATAACAGTTAAGAGCTAACACACTGTAGACACATGTGCCAGGGCCTGGTACCAGCACATGCCATGTGTGATTTAGTGAATTACAAAGCAAGCAAACAAACAAAACAAGCATCTTGGTGCTGGTGGCTCACCCTGGTAATCCTATCTACTCAGGAGGATGTAGTTTGAGGAACACAATTCCAGCCTGGGCGGGAAAGTCCAGGTGACTTTATTTCCAATTAACCAGGAGAAAGCTGGAAGTGGAGACATGGCTTAAGTAGCAGCCTTGAACATAAAAAGCTGAGAGACAACACTTAGGCCCCGAGTACAAGGTTCAGTATGGACAAAACAAAACAAAAAACCCCAAACAAATGTCTTAAAAAAAAAAAAAATATCATTTTAGAAGTGGGGGAAAAAACCCAGAAAACAAAAAAAACCTAGATCTGGGTGCTACAATAGGTACACATCTTGCACTCAGAACCTGAGCAATGCTGGGAATGTAGATGAAGATGCCAACTGCAGGGGTGGGTCCATGTCTTGGCTCGGAGGGCCTAGACCCCATCGCGGAGCAGCCTAAGGCTGGGATGTTCTAGAAGCCGAGCTGAAATTTCCACACAGATGGTCTCCCTCACCAGAGGATCACACAGCCTCACAGATAGATCTCTAGGTCAGGAGGCAGAGACCCCCCAAGGGCTAGCCAGGATTGGGAATGAAGCAAATCAGGAAGAAAACAGGAAATCTAGCCACTGCTTTATACCAGGTACCAAGCCTGCCTTCTCCCATTCAGTCCTCCCCCTCCCTCTTCCCAGTGAAGCTCAGAATGGGAAAGTAACATGCAAGACAGCACTCAGCCAGTGGCTGGTAAGGCTGGGAATGGTGTCCAGGTTTGTCTCAGGGTTCCAAAGAAGAGGAGTCTGTCAGACAATTCTGGGCTGCATGGGAATCCTGATTTCTAACACTGGTCCATCACACTGCTACCAGACCGGGGGCTTGGTTGTGCTAGAGCTGGTGAGAAAGGAAGGGGGTGGAGAGAACAGTTAATAGGGCAGCAGATAGGTAAGAAGAAGCCATCACTGCCAGTGTACAATCTGCTCTGTCTTAATTTCCTTATCTGTAAAATGGGAGTGATCGATTCCAGGCACTGTCTCCAGGCCCTTTGAAGAGTTAAAACGGTGTGTGTTACTGCCGTTTCCATGAACCCCGTTCTGTGAAAAGAAAGACTGAACCAGACCTCTCGACAGACATCTCTGTGCCCAAGATGTGGCAGGTGGCTCACTCCTGGTTACAGCAGTGAGGACAAGGCTCAGAGGACTGGGTTCATGAACAAGTAAGGTCAAGTTTAAACCAACTTGAACACAATGCTTTGTACTGTCAGGAACAGCACACGATAATGCCTAACCCAGCCTGTGCTTTCTCAATTCACCATTCCTAAACCACATGAGGAGAGACACTGGCCCATTTCATAAACAAGTACAATCAAGTCGCTGTGGCTTGAGTGATTTATCCCAAATGTGTGTGCATGCACACATGTGCTGGTACTGGTAACTGGGGCTTGAACTCAGGGCCTGGATACTGTCCCTTAGCTACTTAGTTCAAGGCTGACACTTTATCACTTGAGCCACAGCTCCACTTCCCACCTTTTGGTCGTTAATTAGAGATGAGTCTCACGCTTCCCCATCCAATCTGGCTTTAAACTATGATCCTCAGATCTGAGCTTCCTGAGTAGCTAGGATTACAGGTATGAGCCACTGATGACCAGCTCCAAGTGACTCTAAATACTTTTTACTCCCCCAGAAATGGACCAGATGTGCTATAAAAGGTACCAGAAAGGGTAGAGTTCCTTCCTGCTGATTGGCCTGGAACCCAGGACCTTGCCTGTGATGTCTGCTCATTGGAGGATGAGAGGCTGTTTTTCTATAACAGGTGCTCTCATGCTTGGCTATGGGAAGCCACACTTCTTGTGTCTGGCTCTGAAGCCAGGATGTGACCTACAGTGACACAGTGAGCAGGAGGTGACAGGTCTGGCGTCTCCTTCCCTTCTGTGTCAGGGGAGCAGCCTACAGACTGATGAATAGCCTCCTCCTCTAGAGGGCTGCAGGAGACCCTCACCCACATTTTCCAGAACAGCATTCTACAATCATGAACAGTCACCATGACAACCAGGGTCTTCCCACCGCCCCTGCTGCCCAGGCTGTACCTCCTCTCTGACCCAGAGTGAGCAGCCATAGTCCCACAGGCCCAGCAGGGAGACTGCTCACTGCCGGGTTCAGAAAGCCTTAGGCACAAGGCAGGGAGGGCCTCTCTGCCACTGGCCTGTGCCAAGCTCTGTCCAAAGTGTGATGTTCATCTTGGAAAAGTGGGCATGGACTGGACAGGAGACAGGTGCTCTCCTGCCCAAGTTTTGATCCCCTTCCTTAAGCCCTAGTGGCTAGAACATTCTAAGCCAAAGCCCTCAAAGTCCTGGGCCCTAGAGACCCAGACCCCTTCTCTCTGCTTCCCTGTCAGCAGAACCATTGAGCGTTGGCTGGAGCTTTATACTTCCAGCCCCAACTTCTATCAAGGCTGTGTTGTCCCTCCTGTCCGTGACCCCCTCATCCCACTGGGCTTGTCACCCGTGTGCACCCCCAGCCATGCCCATCTCCACCTTGTGCCTAAGCTTTGTGCATGGGATGTTCGTTGTCTACACATCGGTGCCATCCAGTGCCACTAGAAACTGGTCTATGATCGAGTCATGAGGCAGATCGCCAGTTCAAAGAAAGAATGAATGAATCAGGGAAGAGAAGGAAGAGGAAAAGCAGAGGCGCAGAGACAGGAAGGCTCAACAAGTGAGGGAGGAGGAGGATCGGGATGCCCCCAAGTCCCCTCTACTTACCCAGCTGGGCGCGAAAGCTGCGGACAGTGTTGCCTCCTCCGGGCCGGGCGCCGCGCCTGCTGTATTTGTCATAGAGCCGGAGCATGTGGACAGCGACCATGTCCTGGGCGCCCGGGCCCAGCGCGGCTGCCACTTCCCCAGGGGGGTACTGGGGGTCCTTGTCCCCCCGCAGGCCGTCGGTGGTCTCTGGCAGTGCGGACCAGGAGGAGCCCGCGTGGCTGCAGCCGGAGCCCCGAAGCACCAGGAGCAGCTGCAGAAGCGGGAGCAGCAGGCGGGACCCCAAGTCGGTCCTAGTGGGGCCACGAGCCATGGTGGGTTGACAGCGGCGGAGGGGGCCCGAGCCCAGGACCGGGAGCGGAGAGCTGCGGTTCACCAGCGCTGCTGGCGGGCTCCGCGGACCGAGGGAATGTGGGGATCCCCGGGAAATCGGGGGTCTCGGGATGCTGCTAGGTACGAAGATGGGCGCGGGTCCGGCAGCCGGGCGCTCGCTGCGTCCACTCGGGCTGAGCCCCGGCCGTCCGTCCCGAGCGGGCGCGCTGCCGCCTGGCTGACGCGCCGCGAAACTTTGCCGCCCACGGCCTTCGCGCCGGGCCTAAGCGGGTTCGAGGGGAGGGGCGGGGCGGGGTGCGGCAGCGGGCGGCGCCCTCGCGGGGGACCCGGGCTCGGCGTCCCAGACCACTCCGGCCCGCCGCCACCGCGCAGATCGTCCGTGGCCGGACTGCGCCGTGCGTGCGCTCCTGTGTGCGGCGGGCGCGCGCGCCGAGGTGTGCGCCCGCGGGTGGAGGGGTGGGGTGGGGGCTCGGGCGTGGGCGAGCGCGCTCCCCCGAGCCCCCGCCGGGAGCCTGAGACCCAGCCCCGAGGCCGCTGGCGGCTCCCGCGCGTCGGCGCCGGCAGCCTCGCCAGCGCTGCGCGGGGGGCTGGGCGACCTCTGGAAGGGGCGGCGCGGGCAGGGTTACCCCTTCAATGGCATGCCATGGTGAAGTGGTTGGAAGATGACAGTTCCCCCGTGAGGAGGACCTGAGTGTGTGTGTGTGTGTATGCAGTTGTCTCTGAGCCAGTGTGAGTCCAAAACACAAGCAAAGTGTGCAGGCTGAGAATTTGGAACCTGAGGACCCTTCTTAAGCCAGTTCTAAAAAAAAAGAATTAAATGAATGAATGAATGAATAAATAAATAAAACCTCTTCCAAAGCTCCAAAACTCAACCAACCTAAGGCAATGGTAACATGATCTTGATCCAAATTCAGAATTAGAATTAGCCGATTAACGGATCCTTTATTTGGCAACACTGATTCCAGTGGTTAAAGAAATACATCAAAGGTTCTTATAAATCTTTGGGCTAGGTTGCTAGATTTAAAAAAAATAAAGGCATGCTTTCAATTTGTTTGTTTGTTTGTTTTCAAAAAAGTTTCCAAAGAGAAAAGTCCATAACTCTGAATAAAGATACTCTGTGTAAGGGCTTGTGTGGTAAGCCCAGGCCCAGGCCCTAGCCAGCAGTTTAGCTGGGGCAGAAGGTCCTGAACTTTGTTTCTCCTCTAGAAAGGTTATTTCCCAATGGATAGAATTCAAGGCTTGGCGAACTTAATGCTAGGGAAAATTAGTCTCACTAACTCACTCAAGGTGAAATTTAGTGTTTCAGAATGTTCCACATACTAGTGACTGTCACAAATAGACACAATCCACAGGTATTTTCCCATCACAGCAAAGTGAGTTCAGATTTCTCAAAATACAACTTTTGCTCATCTGTACTTTGAAATGAGAGTAGCAGTTACATTGCACTAGCTAAGAAATTACTGAAAAAAGATATACATTACATGTGCCCATGCTATCAAGTTGTTTTAAAAAGTATTTTTCATAAACTATCCTTTGATATGATTGGTTTTCTTTGTAATCCTGCATAGTTTAGTTTAGGAGGTTCTACCAGATTGAGGAATGGAAGTTTGAGAAATCCTTTTGAGTGAATAACAGGAACACCCCCCCCCCCCCCCCCCCCCAGCTTCAAACCCACTGTCTTCCAGAAAGTTCTCCAAACCATTTATGCTACATTTTGAAGGACAAGTTACAAACTTGTGAAAGCTCTGTTCCTTTTCTTTACTTGGTAACTTTGGGCTCCATGAGCCAAAATAGTTACTTTTCTTGGAGCCCTCACAATGTAATAATTGAAAAATTGCTGGAAAAAGCTTCTGTCCATGTGTAAAATATAACCCATTTGAATCTTTTTTTTTTTTTTTAAGAATCTCAAATTGTCAAATTAGAGGTCATCCTATCCAGAACTTCCGAACCTCAAACTTATAGCTTTGGGGAACCACAGAGAAGCATTTTATTTATTTTGAAAATCAGCTTGCTTTGCCTCTGACTTCCCATTAGACTATCGCTATGAATTCATTCTGTGAACCGATTAAAAAAAAAAAAATTGCTCAAGTCATAGTAAACACTTGAATCTCTCCTTATAAACGATCCAGACCATCTTTTACAGTCCCCTCCCTCTCCCACACCTCCCTTTTCCCTATGTGCCCCTCATTTCCCCTCTGCCCCCCTCTCTCCTTCTCCCCCAGAATGCCTCTGACCTGCCCTGGTTGGGGGTAACCTCTGCTCAGGGGGTAGTTTTGTCTCTGCTGGGGCGGTACACAATCCAGGCCTGTGAAAAGGAGGGATGAGTCTGCAGGAGGCCAGCACAAGCTGGGCTATTGGGATCTGTGTCCATTAAAGCCTCCTCACCCTCCTTAACTCATTCTTAACTCCATTCAAGGCAGTCTGAGGGTCAGGCTTTAGCTGCCACTAAAACCTGTAGGGTTCAGATTCTCTGACATTGTTGCGAAAGAATTAAGGCATCAGCCAGGGACGGCTAATATTTCTTGCCTCGTTTTATTGCCGAACAGCGGGACTGTAAAGTTTTGAACACTAGAGCACTGTGGCCCTCTTTCATGTGGCCGAGATGATGGGATAAAAATGTGTTTGCTGAAGCAATTCAGATTACCACTGGGTCACATCCTCCCAGGCTCCGGTACACAGCCCTGGAGATGGCACAGCTAAGAAGCAATGCAATCTCTGCATAAACACGGCTCAGGCCCAACAGCATCTCTAGTGTGGAATTGAGGCTCGTTGTGGAGTTGGCCGATGAACATGGTTTGTTTTTAATATCCCAGGATAAATGAGCGTGGAGATGATGACTGTGGATGTAACTCCTCCAGATCCACGATTTCTACCAGCTTTTTACAAGACATTCCCAGTCCCAGGAGCAATGAACTGCTATGATCAGAGGTGCTGAGGTTTTCAGCTTGCAGATTAGGGTTAGGCAGTGTTCTCCCCAGTGAAGGGAGGGGAGGGGAGGGCCCTCAGCCCGCCATGAGAATGGCAGGGGAGGAAGTGCAGTGGGTGGAAGTACTGGATGCCTAAGTAAAGGAGAAAGCAATTGGGAAGCCCCGAAAAGCAAGCTCCTTTGGTCTCACCAAAAACCTTTTCCTTGCAGGATGCCATGGCTCATGTCTGAAATTGTAGCTATTCAGGAGGCTAAGAGCTGAACATCTCAGTTTGAAGCCAGCTCAGGCAGGAAAGTCTGTGAGACTCCCAATTAACCAGCAAAAAGCCAGAAGTGCATGCATCACTCAAGTGGTAGAGTACCACTCTTGAGTGGAAAAGCTACTGGGTGCTGGTGGCTCACACCTATAATCCTAGCTACTCAGGAAACAGAGATCTGAAGGTTGTGTCTCAAAGCCAGCCAGAGCAGGAAAGTCCTGAGACTCTTATCTCTAATTAATCACAGAAGCCAGAAACAGAGTTGTGACTCAAGAGGTTGAGGTCCAGCCTTGAGTAGAGAAACTCAAGGATAGCACCCAGGCCCAGAGTTCAAGGCTCAGATTCAGCGCCCCCCCCAAAAAAAATTTAAGGAAGAGTATCCAGAACTGTGTACCTGTGTTCAAGTCCCAGTACACACACACACACACACACACACACACACACACACACACACACACACACAGTTCCTTTTTCTAATGACATGAACCCATGTAGTTATTTCATGGTATTGTCCAGTTAATTTGTGGCTGAGCTTGTTCTTGTTCTAATCAACTCTGTAACCCTGGGGTGGTTTCTTGGATTCCCAGAATCCTGGAAGATTGTTTGAAACCCTGGCTCTGTTTTGAAGCTCTACGTTGGTTTTATGGCCTTGGATCAACCTATTTCTTGGAAGCTGAAGTATGGATATGACCCTGTGAACCAGTGGGACTAAGTTCCTGTTGCCATTTTCACTACTACCTAGCTGTGTGACCATCAGCAAGTGACTTGCCTTCTCTGGGCTTCCATTTCTTCAACTTGAAACTGGGGACAAGAGTAGGCTGCTGTGTGGATTTGTGGTGAAGTTTTCATGGGAGATGGTACAAAATGGTGCCCATCACATTGTGAGAGCCTATTTCAAGTTTACCCAGACTCTGGGGGAGATTTGGTAAGTTCTTCAGCCTGGTGGTTCCTTGATCGGCAGAGGAAATACATTGACTTATTCCACAGTGCCAAGATATGGAAAGTAAAGAGAGAGGGTCTTGTGTCCTGAGAGGGTCTTGTGTCCCTGATGAGGAAGCTTCAGCTCTCCACAGAGCTGTTGTGATCAGTGCGTCTGTCTGTCTGTGGGAGGCTGATTCACAGCTCTTCATCTCCATTTTCAAAGCCCTTGTTCCTTCAGGACAAAAGAAATGCCAGCAAGTCCCTGTTTCTGTTGGAGCTGGAGCTGTGGGGCGCTAGAGACAAGGATCCTGGGCCTCTCCAAGATGCCGGGGCCAGAATGTAATAAATCTGTGAAATAACAAGCACAAAGGACTTCATAATCAATGACAGATTTATTTTATTTATTTATTTATTTTTATGCTGGCAACATCCATCGGTAGAGTTCACATTTTATAGAGAAATAACTCCCCCCCGTGTGTGATTTCTCCTCTTCAGTCCCATAGACTCTCTTTCTGAAAGTTTGGGAAAACTCAGAGAATCCACGTTGGCTCCTCTGAGAACTGTGGCCAGCAAAAGCATGACTTCCCCTTGGGCGGGAACCCAACTCTTTCGGGGTACTTCCTAGGGTGCTGAGGGCCATTCATTTCTGTTTTGCTAAAATACCCGTGACATGTGAATAAACCAGGATTACAGAACATTGTCTCGGGCAGTAATCTGAGCCGGCATGGGCTCTGGTTTGATGAAATATAGTGTTCTCTGAGCAAACATGGGAATTGCTATTACTTCTCGTTAAAGCTGAACAGTGGGACTATTTAGAACTGGGTGCATGAATGCGGCACTGTAGGGAGTGACAATTTGAAGGGAGCCGATTTGAAGGAGGGAGGGGATGGTGGGGTGTG